AAATGTGTATATTGTCCTATAGATGTAGGTTTTCTATAGACATCTCTCTTTTGAAATTCAAATCCATCTTTTACACATTGCTGAAGCAATGAGAATTCGAAAGATATTTTTGTAGAATTAAACGTTCAAGAGTTGATTTATAAGGATTTGATTTGTTTTTCGAGCTTGAATATGGATTAATATCAGTTGGAGAAACATTCAAAACCAGCACTGGAGTACTGGACAGCTGTTTCATCAGCCTAGTTTGGGGCTCATCGGCAGTACGCACCCCCAACACAGGGGATTCGAACTCAGAACCTTCTGGTTACAAGGCCAGCAAGCTCGTATACTATTCAGACACTGGGACTCGACTTCTCAATGGCCAGTACATGAATTCTAACTTCTACTAATTTGTGATTTTTTTAGGGCAACCACCAACCAATGTCATCGGCAGTGGAAAATCCATCCTCACTCTCGACTGGATGCACTTCACTAGTCATGACTCTTCTTACTAGAACTCTAGGAAACTCCATCTTGTAGCCAGTCACTAGCGAGAATCAGATGAATTTCCAAGAGTTCGTTTGTAAGGAATTGATTTGTTTTACGAGTTGGAACACGGACTGATATGAGTTAGATAACCATTGAAAACCAGCACTGGAGTACTACCAAACAGCTGTTTCATCAGCCTAGTTTTGGAATCATCCGGAGTATGTACCCACTGCCAGGGTTCGAACCCATTAAATATGTCAAACAGTCTAAAACGGCTTCTCTCTCCAAGTTTAAGTTATGGGGTTAATATAATCATTCAAAGAGATATAGACACATCTACATGGCAACTTCTGAGTGAAATGAGTCATTTAGAAAACAGAAGGATTGAGCAGCGAAGAGATATTTACTTTTGTCAATTAGATCCTCCCTTATCTCACTCTGGCTCTACTCTAATATACACGTACTTACAGCACTTTTATTATTACAATGCACAACAATTTACCAATCATCAAGTGGCACTGATATGCTTGTTAACAATAATTAAACAATTAATTAATTAAATAATTAAACACTAGTTACTGGTGTCAAATCAAAATATCCACTACAGTCCTACAGGAGGTCGATCGCGGGCCCGAATAGCTCAGTGGTAACGTCTCTGACTAACGGCAGCACTGGGTGACGCGGGTTCGAATCTCAGAAGGGACATGAATTCCTTCAAGGTGGTTGTAGATACGCCTTGCTGACTGGTGAGTGCCAACTAGCACGAAACCTAGGTCAAGCAAGGCTTCCTGTGGCCGATTGCCTCCAACCATCTAATACCATCAAATAATTAAACAGCGTCAAAATGTTAATGGGTTAATAATTAACAAAGAAAATCAGCACACATTTAAAAGGTAGAAATGGATAGAATAAATTATATTTACAAGGATAACACGTAATTAAAGATGAAGTGGTCAAAATAAATAAAAATAAAATAATTTGGACGGTTATAATTTTTAAAATTTTAAAGGTTTAGGGGGAGGGAGGCGAAGTAGTCCGGTCTATACAATCATGTAACCATGGCGAAGGTAGGTAAAGTGGTTGTACAAATTTCTTCTGAACTCACAGGTTTAGCTTCTTCAGGCGGATTCCTATTACTTCAGCTGTAGGTATGTAGACGACGAACTCGTAAAGCAAAACTAAAGTTCGTACGAAGGCGATAAATGATTTTAAATGCTGTATTAACGTCAACCTTATGCTCACTATCTACAAGGTGGGCTAAAATAGAGCTACCTACGAATAGATCTTGTTTGTCCCTTGCTTAACCATGTGCAGGAATATGTTCGGAAATATGATGATGAACCTGCCTAATTGTACGCCACTCGATGTAGCTGGCTCCGCAGCTTCAGTCAAACTGGTAGATACACATAGATGAGGAGGCAAATTTGGGTAGTTTATCCTTATTTTTCGAACGTAGAATAGGGGTGGTTGTGAAGAGACAGCGTACCTCTGCTGCATAATAAGCTCTTTTAACTGTATTCTTCAGGCGCTCATGGTGTTATTATTTCGCTGATTTTGTCACCGAGGAACTGCAGTTTTATGAACATTGGTTTTTTTCGGAAATGTTGCCATAATGACTGTCCTAGGTGATGAATTCATATCTTTTTCAATGAACTTGTCTGAATAACCATTTTTTAAAAAGTAATTGTCTAATAATCTTAAGCTCTTCATTAAAGCAGTCGTCTGAACAGATTAACCTAGCTCTATGAACCAGAGACTTCACGAGGTTACGTTTATATTTCAAAGGTACAAAACTCAAAAAATGAGTGTACTGACCTGTTGTTGTAGGTTTTCTATACACACTCCTTCTTAGTGTGCCATCTTCTTTTCTTGCTATGAAGACATCTAGGAATGAGATAGTGGCATTACTTTTTCTATAGTAAAGTTTATTGCTGAATGTGCATCATTAAACTTGCCATTATTATCAACCCACTGACATTTTAACACTGTTTAATTATTGTTAACAAACATATTAGTGCCATTTGATGGTTGATAAATTGTTGTTTATTGTAATAAAAGTTCTGTACGTGTATATTAGAGTAGAGCCAGAGATGAGGATCTAAATGGAGATTTTTCTACATTGAAATGAGTCACTCGCTATGAACTTCACTACTAACACTAACTAACTGGCCGATTGAATACGCTTCAACATAGAGCTTTGCACAAAAGTTGAAGTAGTCCTAGTTGTCCAACTCTGTGTACTTCAAAGAAAGGTTGATAACAGAGGCAGACACAGAGAGAGAGAGAGAGAGAGGAGGAGAGAAGAAACAGACTCAATCGAACTATAGTGCGCAACAGAGTACCGGAGAAAGAATAATGATAATAATAACATGGAGAGACATGAGCGCCTACTGAATCTGTGAGATTACAAAGAGCATAAATGCATCTACGCCAATGGCTGCGGGGAGGGGGCCGAGAGGTGGTTAAGTTCTAGTCATATCTATCACCAATAGTTTTTGACCATTGGTTCTTTGCATCCCGAGGATTTCAATCACCACTACTAGGCACATCTCTTCCTATGTGGTTTACTCAAAGCAATAGTTCAAGACTATACACACACACACACACATAATATTGATTTCATGTTTTGATTTGACCAAACTTATTACAATTCGGAAACTAAAAAACAAAAATCAATAACACCAAATCGTATTTAAAACAAACAAACAAACAGAAATTCTGAAAAGAAAAAACATTATTTAGGGAATTCCTATATCTCGGTAGGACTCGTCGACCGAATACTCTCTCTCTCTCTCTCTCTATTAGTACAAGCATTGTTATTTAAACATTTTGTAGAGTTAATATTGTGGTGGACAGCTGTTTCGTCAGCCTAGTGTGGGACTCATCATCAGTACGCACCCCCAACACAGGGGGTTCGAACTCAGAACCTTCCGGTTACAAGGCCAGCAAGCTCGTATACTATTCACCCGCTGGGATTCGACTTCTCAATGGCCAGCCTATGCATTCTAACTTCTACCAATTCTTTTACCCCAGTGGGTTCGTACTGATGAAGTGTTGGTCCCAAACTAGGCTGACGAAACAGTTGGCTGTCCAGTACCCCAGTGCTGGTTTTCCAGTGGTTCTCTAACTGATGTCAGTTAGCTCATGGTGAAATCCACCAGTCAATTAAACAGAATCCCTACAAAACCAATAGTTGAAAGTTAACTTTGTATCAAATAACACTTATTTGGGAAGTACCATCAACCAACGCTAACGGGTTGATCTCTGACGAAATCTCAGCTGAATACGGATACAGAGGGCTAGTTTTGCATATGCCAGTTTACGCCGTCTCTGGCTTAGTAGACGTGATATCCGGCTAGCTATCGACAAAAGGGCGGGTGTACTGCTCATAAGTCCGCTCTGTCCTCCTTTGTGACTGTGAGTGAGACCTGGCCATTGAGAGTGGAATAGGTGAAAAGCCTGGCTAGCTGTCTTTGATCATAGGTTCCTGAGCTTTATTTCCCGTTTGAAGTGGTATAATAAGGTCAGCAATAGTGAGGTTAGGCATCGGTCGAGTGCTAGGTAGGTGGGAGGGGAAATCAATCAACGAGGCTGTGAAGCAGTTAAACCGATTGAGATGGTTAGGCCATGTGTAACGCATGCATGCTTGGTCATCATCTTCTTCGACTGACGGGAAATGTTAGCTGACATAGGGTCAGGATGGAAAAGAGCTGGCGGTGGTCAAACCAAAACATGGTTCCATCAGGCAATGAAATCCACAACAGTTAGTTTAAGCCAGACACGTAGGAAGATGTAGACTTCCTGGTTGGGGTCCTCGGGACGGTAAAAACCAATGGCTAGAAACAATAGGGGATATGGCTCAAACTCGCTCTCGGTGGCTGGCGCAGATGCATTCACTCCTTGTGACTTATGATTTCCAATGAAACTATATTATTCTTCGTTATTACTATTCCTTTGTCTCGCACCTCTGTTTACTGTCTCTATTATGCATTTCTTTTACTTTCTTTGTCTTGCTTTGAGCGCTACATGGAGGGAGTGTGGCGACTTGAACTGGTGCACATCGGTGCAAAGTTCTATGCTGAAAGCAGACAGATAGCCAATTCACGACATAGCGCGACAGCTAGCCAATGTCATCGGTGGTAACGAGTATTTGTCCTCACACCCCCGACCTACTACCACCATACTGGTCACGACTTCCCACTAGAACCCCAGGTAACTACCTACCTACCTGAATAGGGACATTCGCTAGTGAGCATCTCATTGATATTCAAGAATTCATGAGGGCACTTGACCGGGTCCCAGTGGCTTAATGGTCTGCGAGCTCTTTAGTCCTGGAGGTGGGTGCGCGTACTGATGAAGAGTCCCAAACTAGGCTGACGAAACAGCTGGCTGTCCAGTACTCCCAGATGGTTTCCAACTGGTTTCTTTAACCGATGTCAGTTTATGATGAAATCCCGTAGCCTATCATCCATAAAATAGACACAGAGAGAAAAAAAACACGACTCAAAATTTAAAAAGAGGCAACATCTTACCTGTAAGTCATAAGGTGATGTCCCATCTGAGATATTACAAAATACACGAGATTTATGCTTTCTTACAGATTGAACCCAACCAATTATTTTAATATTTTTACAAATGATATTATTATTATTATCATCAGTATTATTGTTGTTGGATTGTTTTGCTATATTTAATGATTGTATTGACTGATTAGTTGTCATTCTAATTGAATGGTGAATAGATGGATATTGTAAACACTTTACAAACAGGCATGATTGATGATGTCGATGATTTGTAGGAGTGATAGCATTGATTGAACTTTGAATGGAGAATCTTTTGGGCATATGAAGGAAATTGATGAATTTTTGATGTAATATCATTGGTAATGACGAAGAAATCAATGAAAGGCGAAAAGATTAAGCTGAAAGATAAATATAATCAATAAATTTAAAATAGAAATCGTAGAAAAAGAGTAATTAGATACATAATACTAATGAGACTTTGAGTGAACACTAGTCAATTAATGTAATGTGTTGACCGCTTCACTTATTCGAGAAGTAACATCAGACAACGCCAACGAGTTGATCTCTGACAAAATTTCAACATGGATACAGAGGGCTAGTTTCGAATATGCCAGTTTACGCCGTCTCTGGCTTAGTAGACGTGATATCCGGCTGGCTGTCGACCGAAGGGCGAGTGTACTGCTCATCAGTCCGCTCCGTCCTCCTTTGTGACTGTGAGTGAGATCTGGCCATTGAGAGTGGAATAGGTGAAAAGCCTGGCTAGCTGTCTTTGATCATAGGTACCTGCGTTCTATCTCCTGTGTGCGTTAAGTGGAATAATAAGGTGAGCAATATTGAGGTTAAGCATCGGTTGAGTGCTAGGTGGGTAAGGAGGGGAAATCAATCGACGAGGGTGTGAAATTACACCGAGTGAGATGGTTAGGGCATGTGTTACGCATGCATGCCTAGTCAGCGCCTTCCTCGACTGACGGACAATTATAGCTGACATAGGGTCAGGTTGGTAAAGAGCCACTGGTGGTCAAACCAAAGCATGGCACCAATCAATGAAATCCACAACAGTTAGTTTAAGCCACTCACGTAGGAAGGTGCAGACTTCCTGACTAGTTCGGGTCCTAAGGATGGTAAAAACCAATGGCGGCTGGAGACAATCGGTAATATGGCTCAAAATCGTTCTCAATGACTGGTGCAGATGGATCCACTCCTTGTGACTTATAATATCCAATGAAATCATATTCTTCTTCGTTATTACTATTCCTTTGTCTCATGTCCCTGTCTACTGTCTCTATTATGCATTTCTTCTGCTTTTTTCTCTTGCTTTGTGTGCTATGAGGAGGGAGTGTGGAGACTCGAACTAGTGCACACCGGTGCAAAGACAGACAGACATAGTTCTTTGTTTGTTTGATGCAGACTGAATTCAATCAGTCAGCCAGGTTTGCAATGTGTCCAGCATGCCACTAAGTAGCTTGCCATCACGGTGCACTTTAAATTGTTGTTTTTAGATAGTTGGAGGCAATCGGCCATAGGAAGCCTTAACTGGCCTAGGTTTAGTGCTAGGTAGGCGTACCTGAACTCATGTCCCTTCTGGAATTCGAACTCACGTCACCTACTGCGGATAAAGCACAGTGTTACGTAATGAAGATAAGAAGTTAATGACGTTTAAAACATCCACTGTCTAATTCCGAAGAAACCTCTCATGCCTGTCAAATCTCCTTACTTGTAAAAGAAAGCTGGGTTAAATCAAGGGACAACAGAAGACCCGTTGACGTCGTCTTCATAGACTTCAGCAAAGCCTTCAATAAAGTACCTCACAAAAGACTACTCATGAAGTTGAAAAGTCTTGCTATCAAAGGCAGATTACCAAACTGGCTCAGGGAATTCCTCATGGATAGGAGGCAGAGGGTTAGGGTCAACTCGAAACTCTCCTTTTGGACGGCAGTACGTAACGGAGTGCCACAAGGCACGGTACTCGGACCTCTCCTATTTATTCTGTATATCAATGAGTTATCTCTGCTCACCGATGCTCCCCTATGGTCCTATACGCAGATGACTTAAAAATGTGGAGAGAGCTGAAAGGCAACAGTGATACGTCCACGTTGCAAGAGGACCTCAACATACTGTCAGAGTGGTCCATAGAATAGATGCTCCCGATCAATGTGGCAAAATGTGCAGCCATGCGCATCGGACAAGCAAGCACCAGCTGCTACTAACTAGTGGGAATAACACTTCAATCAGTTCAAACTCACTTGGACTTAGGTGTCATAGTTAGCCATGACTTAAAAACTATAACACACTGTCGCGCGCTGGCTACACGTAGTTTCGGGTCCTTATGGGCAATTCACAGAGCCTTTACTAGAATCACCAGAGATATGTTCACCTCCTTATATACATCAAGACTGGAAAACAGTATTCAGGCAGCCAGTCCTTGTCTAAAAAGGGACTCACACATTCTAGAAAGTGTTCAAAGGAAAGCAACACGTATGGTTCTCAACATGACTAATTTATTATACGAGGAAAGACTAGACAGTTTAAATCTATTCTCCCTGTCATACTGTAGATAGAGAGGAGATTTAATCACAATGTTTAACATTTTAAATAATGACTACTGACCTGACCTATTCTTTCTTTTCCTTCCCACTAGGTCGGAACACCTTAGAAGACACTGCAGGAGAGTTCAAAAGCCAAGAAGAAATCATATTTCTGTTGAGTACTGATTCTCACATCGAGTTATAAACTCTTGGAACCGACTCCCAGAAGAAGTGGTGTCTGTAACCTCAACTGATTCATTCAAGAAGGGTTTGGACAACCACAGAAATTCACTAGAAAAGGATTAACATAGGCTCCAAGCCCTCTATCTTCAATAAATAAATCTGAACCTGAAATCTGATAAACCAATACTGAAGTTCAATACCCAAGAACTGAAGGACAAAGTTACAAAGGGCACCTTCAACGGAGTCATCAGGAAGAAAAATCAGAGGCTTTATGAAACCTAGGTAGAAGAAAACTGGAACTGTTTGTGGGCGACTTGAAAGGCAGTCTTTAAACGTATGTTAGGCAAAAAGAAGACGAAGCAAGACAAATGATGACTCTCTAAGGACACCTGGAAGCTGACAGAGGACAGAAGGATGGTGAAACAGAAGATGAACCAATGCATAGATGTACAATCAAAACAAAAGCTCAGTAAAATCGTTAGACTACTATCGAACAAGGAAGAAAAGAAGTGTACTAGGAAAAAGAAAAAGATGCTTTCTCGGCACACTGGCAACTGAACCAGAACAGGCTATAGGTAAAAGAGATCACACAACGCAATATTAAGGAACTAATTGGTTAGCCAGGAAAGGATCAATATAGATGGAGCCAGTGAAAGATAATGGAGGAAATCTAATTACTAGAGAGCTGAAACGGTGGAAACGCTTTGCTGGCCCCTCTTGAGTTGACCACCACATGCAACTTATTCAGAAATACCATTAACAGACACAGAACAACCTGTGAACACAAATGCTCCGGCCAAAGGGGAAGTTTTAGAGACCATAAAGTTACTAAGACCCAGTGAAACAGTAGGATTGTATGGAATCTCAGAAGCACTGAATACAGACCCAGAGACTTCAGGCAACACTCGTTAGCCACTACTGTAGAAGATATGGTGGGAACGAAAGGTATCCGGCTATTTGGAAGAAAGCCACCGTATGAATTTCCGTGAATAATACCTATACACATGAACTGACTCGTCATCATGCTGTCCTCCAATTCAAGAGAAGACTAAAAGATGGCCTGGATGGAATACTTCTGCAGGAGCAGGCTGGATGCAGGAGAAATAAGTTGTGTACCGGCCAAAATTACGCATCATCATCATCAAACACAGCTTGGAATGACAGTCAATTCTTTACAGCAACTTCTTTAACTTTGAAAAGGCTTTCAACAGCATCGCAACTGCTTCAACACTAAGGAGCGTATTGTTGCAGACATTTATACACCTCAATCAACAGCTATATGAAAGTAACGCGTGTCAAGTGATTCACAATAGAAAGCTCAATAAGGCCTTCAAAGTGAAAACAGGGATAAAACAAGGCTGGAGGAGACTGTCACCGATGACCTACCTGACTGTGGTGGACTGCATCATGCGTCAGTTAGAAGACAGGCATTTATTGGACTGACAGAAAGACCCTAAAAAATCTGGTCTTCATGGATGATTTTTGAAAATCAACAAATAGGCAGAAGAGGCAGTAAAGACAGGACTTCACATGAACACAGGTGATGCAGATGCCAAACTAATAGCATCAGACGCAAGTCATTATCGACAGAATATATCTAAAGACAGTTATCTCTCACTTACACAGAATACATCCTATCAACTATATAGGCAGCAAGTATGAGAGTTGCAAAGCCAACCAACGAAGATTAGGAAAGCAAGACAAGCGTTCATTACTCTTAAATCTGTGTGGAGATCTGCTGTACTCAGCTCAACGAACAAGATCAGAACTTTCAAGTTAGTGCTCTGATATGCTTCAGACACTTGGCGTGTGCAAAATATAAGGCAATTCCAACAGGCTGCGGACTTTCACTAGCATCTACCCATTTCGTTCGACAGTGAAGGCCATACAGCTAGTAAGAAAGAGTGAACAAGCAACGAACCAGGCAACAAACTATTTCCTATCATATATGCAGAAGGAAATAGGAACAGAATGGAATTCCACTGGGGAAACCTACAAGCGATAGCACTCCCTAGGTAAACCATCTACCGGACTCTATTAAGGATACGATTTTATTTTGATAAATCACACAGTATTGTACAGTAATATTAACTGATGACGTTTCGAGCACAAACTATTGCAACTGAAGAGGATGGCAGAAAACAGAAGAAAGTAGTGTTGTTAAAGCTGTATGTTGCATTCCGAACCCAAGGGAATAATAATAATAATATACAGATACAGACCTTCCTCAACAGCTGTCTTCGCTCAATACTACTCAAGATCAGATGGCCAGCCAGAAAACATTAGCAACAGGGATCTCTGGGGGTGAGCCAACTGTGCAACAAATATCCAAGAAGAAATGGAGGTAGGTGGGTTGGCCATACTGTGAGGAAATAAACCATCAAGTGACACCACACGCCAGTCTCTCTCTCTCGAGTGGAACCCGAATGGGAAGAGGCGAGTTGGTCTTCCGAGGATGACATAGAGGAGGTCACGTGAAGAGGAGATGAAAACATGTGAACAGACGTGGAGCCAGGTGAAAACGTTGGCTGAGAACCGAACATAATGGAGATGCGCGGCTGAAGCCCTCTAGGAACTAAAGGAAACAATAATAATACTATAGTTTTAGCAGCTGCTAAAACTGTAGTTCCTGCTTTGTTCAAATTCATTAAGGGGAATAAATGTATGAAATAACACTATACATGTACTGTCACGTTTCCATAAAAGCCAACCAAAATTATACCCCCCGCCCCCCGAACTATCCTTATTTTATAATTGCCAGAGATAGCTACTGACAGTTGAAAATATGAAAAGGCTATTTGTCTTTGACAACAGAGGTTTGAGTCCTATCTTCCTTAATAAGTAGTATAATATGTTGAGTAATACTGAAGTTCGGTATAGAGTCTTAAGTAAAAAGACTACATCTATAGATGAGATTGTGAGGCTATATCGTTTGACATGCATAAGACATGTGTTGTGTCATGCCAAGTCATTATCTTCCTGGACGAGCAGTGTTAGCTGGTAAAGGATTATAGTGGAAAGGAGTTACGGGTGTCCAAATCAAAATGTGGCATCATTCTATGAAGTTTTAAAGGCTGAGGGCGTTGACGTTCACGGATAGTATGAAGTATACTAACGCAAGATCTAATACCCACAACTTGTATAGTATTCGTTCGGTGTAGACCAAAGGCACAGAAAAACACCAGAATTGACCACCCAAATTATGAGTTATATTTCGGGACAGAATCGGAGTGCAAAATGATGGCTTAACTAGCTGGGGATAGTGCACGAATGAACGAACGAATGTAACTCGACGGCGTACCAAATGGCGTGGATGCTTGACCGTAAGTCTTCAGATGTTGACTGATGAATGATGTGGCTAGTAATTCTGGGGAATTACCTACCGCTACAAAGTCTTTGACACTTGGTTTAAGGCAGTCACGCAGGGAAGTTTAGATTGATTGCCTGATTGCAGTCCTTAAGATGCCAATAACTAGTGGTTTGAGGCTGTCGGTGATAGGGTTACATCCTTGTGCAATCTACTATGTTGAAATTCACTCCGGATATCTTATTCAGCCAATTCACTTGAAAATATACAGCAAAATAAACTAACTGTTACACCAAAAAATGGACATTATGAGCAACAACGTCGGTGGCACAGCGGCTAGGACGCTCACCGACTCATGCACATGGTCCGGGATTCGATCCCTGGCCACCGACGCACTCCTTTACCTCACTAAGCCAAAAACAAAGCTGGTAAAGAGGAAAGATTGGGGGGGGAGACATAAGGCTAGCAACCCTATCCTGTGAAAGGTAATCACCACTACTGCCACAGAAACTTCAAGTCTCTAGCTTGAAGCCCCCTGTGTTCCACTGGGAACGTGAAGGAATGAAAAAAGAAAATGAGCAGCAGAGTTGAGACAGCTAATCAGAGACAGTTCCACTGTTTTCGTTCACCTCTTGTGTAGTTTCTCCTCCTTTCATTCAGTGTATAAAGTACATTACATATTGGGATAATAAATATTTGTAAATAAATGTTATTTCTAGAGCCTATTTGAGTTTACGGTAAATAACAAATCCCTATAAAGTTTATAGACGGATGCAAACGCAATTTCGCCTACTTCCATTCAGTAATATAAGTAATCATACTTCATAGAATAAAACTAAATATATCATGGTTTTATGGGATCATGGATTTTGCTTGTGCTGCACAATCTTTATATAAGTAATCGATTTTCTTTTTAGTGAACCAGTGTATCCCAGTTTCCAATTTCAAGTCTAGTCTCAAAGATTTCAACGGGAGAAGATACTACAAATCCATATGCGTTGCTAGTGTGTAACCGGTGTTTTTAGACTTTAGAATGAGTATTTGTCTATGTACCTAGTACTCAGGATGAAATATTCACCTTAGTTAAGGGACTTAAACACAGACACTCATTAAGCACAGTCGTTAAATGATACTTCACTAGAATTACAGCACGTCAACGGATAGTAACCGCTTTATCAACTTTTGGTATAGCACACAAGCAGATTGCATACAAGATTATTAGTATAAGGATAATCGCTTCAAGATCTAAAGTATTTAAAAACAGAATTTCTTTCTTTACAGTCATTCCATGAACAAAAAAGTGTAAAATTGAAAAGTTTAAGAATTCAGGTTTAAAGGTTTCATCAAAATTTCATAAACACTTCACTAGCTCTATAGAATCAAATACCTTATGATTTCAATATTCTTCAAGGAGATGAGTAAAGTCGTACAATGTTAGACAACTTATTACTCCAATAAAATTATAAGCAGTCTACTCGTTCCCTGGTTGTCCGTCTTTATACTCCACAGAATTACTACACGTGATCACATTCGTTTATAAATGTTGAAACTAAGTTCAGATGTTAGTGAAGATGCAATTCCAAAACCCTCTTCAAACAGACCGTGTATGACTGGTGTAAAGCAGTTGTTCATTGGGCTTTGAAGTCATGCAACACTAATGTCGCTTTCATTTCAGGTACTATAAGAAGAAATCAGCATCGACGGTATGGGCAGCCGGGAAGTAATAACCACACACACACACACTTCTATAACCTCGGGTCAAGGACTTGCACTGCGTGTCACGAAAAGGATTTCCAACAGCCAGCTGCAGACTTTCATCAACACCTGCCTCCTCCCTTCGCTGGCTCCATACTGAAGATCAAATGGCTGGCCAGAAAGAATAAGCAACAAGAAACTATGGGAACAAGTCAACTGGCGAGGAGAAAATGGGGATGGTTTGATCGGGCCTTCACTGAGGAGGCCGTCGAATGACATCGCGTTCCATGCAGGCCATCGCTCGAATGGAATCCAAATGGGAAGCGACGAGTGGGTCATCAGTGCGAGGGTGAATTGGAGGAGATCGTGTGTTTGGGAGGAGATGAGAGAGTTTTATCAATCATGGAGCTACCCAGATGAAGAGGACAGCAGAAAACAGAACGGAGTGAAAATGTGTTGTTGAAGCCCTATGTTTCACTCGGAACGCAGGGGAACAATAGTAATACACACCTCTATAAGCACATAAAGATTTTCAGACCATCACTCCTGACAAAGTAAAAATGTCTATATATGATAGAGAAGATTTGTAGCTCAGGTGGATGATTTTGATGTGATTGTGTTCTTCAAATTGAGGTATGCACTGAAGATGTCGCCTAGTAGGGCGATGAAAGCTTCGCAGAGAACACAACCACATCAAAAATGTGTATGCTACACGAAGTTACTACATTCAATATGGTCATCACTCAAAATGACAACACACTCTGCATAATAGCAAATCTTCCGTTTCGCTAAATGACATGCACAGATGTAGGCAGCAGAAGCTGAAGGTACATTATAATTCGTGTTAAAAGTAACAAATACCTTTAATTATCTTATGACTGACTGGTGGTTGAAAGTTCCTTTAAAAGTGGTTACCTAATGGTTATAACATGCCCCCTAAAATAACAATATTATACATATATATTATTACTCAGTGGTCAAGCTTACTAAACAATATACAAAACAACTGGCATGAAATCTTAATGCATGCAAGCTTCGCACTAATAAGTCGCGGAAAACATACAGAGACTGTGACATTCACACATTCATTGTAGAACCATTTAACATTGACAAAAGACAAAAACCTCAGTTGAGAGCAAATTATTACGTTGTAATGTACAAATGATATGATCAATAACATTAATAACTCAATAGAATTTATATAAACAAATGAACATATCGAGAAATGAAAAAAAGAGCAAACAAAATAAAGATGATGACATTATAATCTGAATGATGAAAAAACCAGAATGTGAGAAATTAGGCAGGAATCATGACAAACTTAGCTAAATAAATAAATAATATATATATATATAGGCAATTTAAAGCAAGAATAAAAAGTTTTATCTTGTGTTGGAAAGCACATTTTGGAAGAGCTAAATTTCAACACATTGGCCTACAATGTTTTTGACTTAATGGTCCTACAGAGGCGTTTATAGAATTTTAAAAAAATAATTATATTGCAAAGAACAACTAGAGCTAGGCAAAATAAAGATAAGGGTATTGAAGGCGCGTGTGACATTAGTTTTAGTTTAACATTACGTTCTTGTAGATCCGTTCTAAGTGCATAATATTGTGTTACCGAAGCAAAAGCAATTAATACATGAAATATTTGATGACTATGCCCGAAAATATCAAATTTTCCTGGAAACCAACGTTCAGGAAAGTGTGAGACGTACAGGATAGCAGCAGAAAATGTCGACAGGAAGTGTATATTCCAATAGTAAACTGAAGCACATTCTGAAGATTCATCGCCATTGGTCAAATATCTACAAGAAAATGAACGCCATATAATTGGAAGTGCAAGGTAAATCACATTGATTGAAAATGCACCCATTCGTACAATATTACGCATAAAGGATGGCTTCCAGAACCTAGTTTGACACGATAAGTGAGTACCACAAATACAGAATAACACTGAAGTAAACAAGAACAAATCACATAAATTCAAGCCAAAGCCTGATGAAAGACTCAAGAAATTCATAGGCAACGCAAATGCATAATAGCAGACAGCACAGCCAAAAGAGTACAAGGTTATGCCAATATAGTCGCAAAAGAAGCAAACATGGCGAGCTCTAGGAGACAGGCAACTGAATGTATGAGCACAAGAACTGGTGAATAGGAAAACAACGGCAGTCACAAGATATATTAGGAGGAAACGCTCACCAACGTGAAAGAAATTCAGGATTAGTTCGATGATAAAATAAACAGTTGGTATTATTTGTGTCCAAATATTCATCGTTTCGTTGTGCAATTGGAAAATAGATAGAACGCCTGATGTAAAAGACGCTGATGGCTTGCGATAACCCGATAGTATTCCAACTTCATGAAAATCAGGTGAAATTTGTGAAGCTGACAAAATTTCTAACTTTCTCCTCTTCAGGTAACCATGTTTCTGGCAGTTACTGACAGCTTGATAATGAACATCTTTATCTCCACCAGCAAATGAGCTCATAAACATTAGTTTCATGAGATCCTGTTGATGTACTTTTCAAAGCAAGATTTTAAACTTCTCTCTCAGACTGGAATTCATAGTGTGAGACATGACCTTCACAAGACATTATGCTATTGGGCCAAGCGAACTTATGCGACCCCCCAAGGTCGTGAACGCCACAATTCTAAAAGCGCTCCATAACCCTTTATCCTTAGTTAACGAATATGCTGAGAGGGAACATATTATTTCCGTTGCTTGACCAATTTTTCGAGCTTTTGAATATATAGGCATACTTTTTGTTTCCATTAGGTGAGGCTGAACATCACACATGACTGGTTGGGAGAAAATAAGGAGGATATTTTGATAGTGATTTTTAAAGATTTCAGATACTCTCTTACTCTGTAGTTTATGCGGCTTCATACAGCGTCATCACCGTCTCTTGATTTTATTTTATTCCATTACAATTACGTATAAGTCTTCACTATTGTTAAAAGTTGTATCTTGAATTTACGCATCAAACCTACGTTGGCAAATATTTACTTAGATGTCAAGCAGTCTTTTTAACTGGGATTTCCTCACTGTCCATATTTGACTCGTAAAACTGACTAATACGACCATATAAAGTCAGTGGAAGCATTTCGGAAAGAGAAACGGAAATAATAATATCACTAATGCATAGCATTTGCATAATAATAAAGAGAATAGTAGTGTTAGTGATGATTATAATAATAATGATGATGTGCATGCCAAACGTGCACAGAATAATGACAACAACAATCGGGAATATAAGTAATAGGTAGTACTTCCACAAAAAGAAGGAACCTCGGAAACCTTAAGGCGGAAAATTCTTAACAATGCAGGAATAAAAGCGGCAGGCATTCAACCCATCCACAAACTCAATTAGAAACAAGCTTTGTCGGTTAAATGACCAATCCTGTGGGGCCAAAAAGCAAAGCAATTTAGTTTATCTAATACCCTTTTGCCCAAATACATAAGTCAAAGTAGCAGAACAGGGGCAGTAAGACTAACCGAGCATAAAAACCAGTAAGATCTAGGTTAGTTGACCTCACAAGAAACCTAGAAAGTAGTTCATCCACAGCACCACATGCGATTACACACAACTATACAATGGGAAGAGATAAGATGACAGTTTCAAAATCTAATGTCAAAGGGTGGAGGGAGAGATTGATAACAGAAGCTTAGAAACAGTCTTTGTCTTGCTGTATGATCAACATGGTATCAAGTTCGTTTGCAAAAACTATAAAAGCCACATGGATCTTAACATCCAGAGCCGACACTAGGCAAAGTTATTACGTGGTGATTCTAGATTTGTTACTGAGCATCTGCCCCTTTTTACACAATGTTCCTCCTCATGCAGTGTTGGTATGGTTGTCAATCAGACTCTCAAATACCTTTACCGCGACTGATCTACAACTTATTTAGCTTCTCTAATCCCCATGCCATCCTTGGAGATAGGAAAAAGGGATAGTTCTCCTTTTCTTTCTTTTTCGGCGGTTCCTATGAATCGATGGAGTGTTGGAAGAGGAGAAATATGGGCCTAAAAAGAACTTCTGAGCTTTGTTTTGGAACTGTTTGTTGAGTACCGTCACAACCTGAGCACTTCTCTGGGGTGGCGTGTAGTGGAAGTATCCACACTTTTGTTTGACTGTTACTTAAAGGCCAGACTGGATGTTCCAGCCATTTCCATGCTAGTGAAGAACCAGCCACTTGGATTTCCCGAGGTAAGTCCCTTTGGCTGGCAGTCTTTCATCCCGACATGAATCTCATTAGGTTGTCGGGTTTTGCCGGTAGATTTCTGGCAAGATTTGTTCGAAATGGCATCCTGTCAAACCTGATCCTTTTACTACATCGGCTTCTGGGCTCCAAGTTTGCCTCATGGTTAGTATAACACTAGGGAAGTTGCCGGTGAAAGCGGACTCTCCGCCTAGCCTGCGGAATATGCCGCGTGCCTCTGTCGCTTCCTGCGATGTAGTGTAACTATAGGTACAGTGTTTAAGACCACTATGTGGATGAACCCTTTTACCATTTCCAAGCGTTCCTCTGTTTATAGCCTAGTCCTATTGGTAGGCGGTTCCGCGTCAGATAAGTCTTCGCACTTTGGTGTAGCCGATTTTGCTACCGTTTTGAACACCGTCGCGTAGTGTCACCGTAAATGCTCGCAGGGGACCAGTTCAAAAGCTATGACTGCAAGGTCACTGTTACCCACAGATGTATCCATCAGAACGTTTTCCATTCGTGACAGCTCAGCAGTTCTGTTTAGGAAAAGCCACGAACTATGTCTGCAGCAGAAATACGCCTGTGTAGCGTTTCTTAGCACGCTTGAGATGCTGAGTAGGATATCGTTGACACCGCGGTACACTCGTATTTGTCGAAGAAGCCTACAGGACACACCCATTTCACCGGTAGGTAGTTATAATCATTTCAGATAAGAAGTATATTGTGATATCCGTCAGACGTAACTTTTCCTTTTGCTATGCAAAGCTTACAACAGTTTTCCCACAAGTCTCCTCGCAGACTTCATCATCTTGAGCTTCTATAAGGCACAACTTCCTGGTAGCTTCGGCCAGTAGCACTTTAGCAATCTCTACGTGTCTAGATAATTCAAATTTGCTAAGCAACACCAATCACCTCAGTGTGTTAACACTGGTCCGAAGTGGTTAAAATAGATACTGCGATAACTTGTTCGCAAACAAGCTGTCAATGGAGTTGAAGATTGAACGATCAATTCTTGGTTGTTTGCTTAAAATCAACTTCCCCAGTTTTCGCGGAGGCATCAATACGACAGTCATCGTCTCATCGGTCGCTGTTCAGAAAGAAGAGTGAAACATCGTCAGAAAGCTTAGTTCACTTATTCTTTTTATAGGTTGGTGTAACAATAAAGAAATATCAAGCGGCAGATCGGTGTTTTGGTTTTTTCGTCCGTTATAACTAAGCGTTTCTGAAATCTTCAAGGAACAGCGTGGGCCCGAGCGTAGCGAGAGCTGGGTATTAACGGTTTATGAGACGTGATTGACAGTTTCTGACGATGGAAACAGATCTGGCGGATTCAAACAGTTGGTGAAAGTTTGGATAGTCACCGCTCATCTTTCCTGGTGCCGGTCAAGTCCTCTTTGAACAAGCAATATCTGGAACTTTTTGGAATTGGGTCAAGTTCAACAGTGTCTGGGTAAAAGAAGGGACAGAGCGTCTTGGATGCAAACAGGAAAGTAAGTCATGTTGACTTGTCTGTTAATTGTAACGATGTGTCTGATGTTAAGCATGACATGGTTGATGTTACTGTTTCGCCGTTCAGGGATAATAGGAGCATCAAACTCCCTAAATTTGAACCACGGTGTTTCGATGGAAACCCGGCTGATTATCTACAATTTGTAAAGGAGTTTGAGATCATGCTGAATAGTTTTCTATTAAATGATGAATTGAAGTTAATGTATTTGATGAGGTATTGCACTGGAGATGCTGCAAGAGCTATACAGTGCTGTAAGTTTATGAAGCCAAAAGAGGGCTACAATGAGGCTATGAGCATACTACGTCAAAGGTTTGGAAGACCTTCGATGATTGTAGGGAAATTATTCGAGGCTGTTAAGGGTAATGGTGGTCAATTACAGGATGACTCCCAGGCACTCACTGAGTTTTTAGATAATTTCCTAATTTACAAGAATGGAATGATTTCGAAGAATCGCATGAGTGACCTCAACTCGAGTTTTATACTAGAAGTAATAGCAAGACGTCTACCTACTCGACTGCAAAGGAAGTGGGTGAAGATAAGCTCCCGTATGGAGGATGACGGTATCGAGCCAAGGTTTGATGATATCCTGAAACTGGTAAAAGAAAGCGTCAATCAATCTATGAGCAAGTTTTCCAGTCTATTAGATCTCACCCCTAGAATAGAGCAGTCTGAGAGCAAAACGCATTCATTGATGACGAATAAGCCTCAGAGAGGTGGATATCGAGAAGGCTCCATGATGTCTAGTAATGCATATAGACCTAATGAGTGCAACAGGTTTCGTCGTACATCCTCAACAGATAAGTTGCAAGATGCAAGACAAACACGGTTGTGTTTTACACGTTTGCAAGTAGTGCATACAAAGATGAACTGTGAATCAGTGAGCAAGTTCAGTGATAAGCTAAATGTAAACTCCAGGCCTGACTCCGAATTGTGTGACGATAACGGTGCGTTTAAGAAGTCTGTAGTTGCAACTGGTAAGCCATTGTTGAATAGAGTGTCACAGAATAGAGTTACTGCTTCAGAGTGCAGTTCTGACTCCACAAATTTACAAAGTATAACTAGTCAGAGTGAAGATATAAAACCTTTAATGATTTGCGAGGAGGAACCAAAATTGTCTACTTCTGTTATTAAAGAGTTTGAAAATGATGAACTTGACGGTAAATTGAATATTCGTGATAATGATCATGATAATTCACAGTTGTCTTTGGTTGATCATGATGAGATGAGGGATATGCCTACTACTGCTAAGTTGAACAAAGGTTCTGTACAACTTGAACGTGAAATAGAATTGAATGCAGATGCAGTTGCAGAAGGCATACATACTTGTGAGACCGTCAGTGTGATTGATCAGCATGTAGCCCACCTATCATCGGATGCCAGTGCTAAACCTGAGCTGATAGTAAAAGACAGCAGTGGTGGTGGTCTTGCAGGTAGACAAATTTCTGAAAGCCGAGCAACAACAGCTTCTGATCCACCGCTAAGTTCATCAACTGGTATCAATCAGTCGTCGTTGGTGCTGTCATCCACAATGAAACAGACACCCATCAACTCTAGTATCTTCTGCAATGACTATGCTAGTATCAGTCCGTTTGAAGAGACGAAAGATATTGGTCAGTTTAGTGAGAATAAGCCAAGTGTAAACGAGAGAGTAATTGTTAAATTGACTTGCACGAATAAAGGCATTTCTAGTTTCAAGTTACTATTTGAATGTTATTATCTTTGGTGTAAATTACTCTGTTTCTACGCTTGGTTGACCAGATACGTCGTATGTTTGTTCGTC